TACCTCGAACAGTTTTTGTTGATCTTGAACCAACAGTTATTGGTAGGAATTATTTTAATCAATTAATAGATTAGTTTTTCTTGTTGAATAGATGAAGTACGAACGGGTACTTATCGTCAATTATTTCATCCTGAAACACTTATCTCGGGTAAAGAAGATGCAGCAAATAATTATGCACGAGGTCGATATACTGTTGGAAAAGAAATTATTGATTTAGTACTTGATCGTATTCGAAAATTAGCTGACCAATGTTCTGGTCTATTAGGATTTTTTGTTTTTCATAGTTTTGGTGGTGGTACTGGTTCAGGTTTGTTTGTTTGTACTTTTTTAATCAAGAAAAATAAATCGAAAGATTTGTTTATTAAATAGGTTTTACTTCATTACTTGTCGAACGATTGGCTGTTGATTATGGAAAAAAATCTAAACTTGAATTTGCTGTTTATCCAGCTCCACGTATAGCAACTGCAGTTGTAGAACCATACAATTCTATTCTCGGTTAGTTAGTTTAATTTTTCATATTTTAATTACAGATGTTTACTTTTTCTTTTTCTTTTTTTTTAGTTACACATAGTACATTCGAAAATTCAGATTGTTGTTTTTGTATTGATAATGAAGCTGTTTATGATGTATGTCGACGAAATCTTGATCTTGAAAAACCAACTTATACAAATGTTAATCGTATAATGGTAATTAAGAAAATAATTAATAGAAAAAAAAATATATATATATTCTATTTAGGCACAAGTTATTTCATCTATAACTGCTTCACTTCGTTTTGATGGTGCTATTAATGTTGATCTAACTGAATTTCAAACAAATCTTGTTCCATATCCACGTATTCATTTTCCTTTAACAACATATGCACCAATAATATCAGCTGAAAAAGCTTATCATGAACAATTAACAACATCAGAAGTAACATCAGCTCTATTTGAACCTGGTAATCAATTAGTTAAATGTGATCCAAGACATGGTAAATAATCAGAATATTAAAAAAATAATTTTTAAATTTTAAAATAATTTATTTAGGTAAATATATGGCTTGTTGTATTCTTTATCGAGGTGATGTAGTACCAAAAGATATTAATGGTAAAAGTTTTTTTTTTTCTTAGTATGTTTGAGATAATAGTTTTATTATTTTTATAATAGCTACTATTTCAACATTGAAAGCTAATCGAAATATTCAATTTGTTGATTGGTGTCCGACTGGTGAGAATTATCAGAAAATTTCTGTATGGTTATGTTTTTTTTCTTTAATTTTAAAATTTAGGTTTTAAAATTGGTATTAATTATCAACCACCAACAGTTGTACCTGGTGGTGATTTAGCTAAAGTTCAACGTGCTGCTTGTGTAAGAAGATAAGTTTTAGATGACAAAAAAAAAAAACAAAAGACTTTTATTTGATCAATTTAGATGATGGCAAATACAACAGCTATTGCTGGTAAATTAAAATATTCATGTTTTTCTGTTTGTTTCTGATATGATATAGATTTTTTTGCTTTGAATATTCGTAGAAGCATGGGCTCGTCTTGATCATAAATTTGATTTACTCTATGCAAAACGAGCATTTGTTCATCATTATGTTGGTGAAGGTATGGAAGAAGGTGAATTCAGGTATGATGAAAAATGATCAATTTGATTTTATTTTATAGTGTTTTTGTTTTTATTGAAATTAGTGAAGCGCGTGAAGATTTGGCAATGTTAGAAAAAGATTATGAAGAAGTAGGAGCTGATACAGCACCGGCTGAAGGTGAAGAAGAGGGCGAATACTAGACATTATTTATGATTTTATTATTATTATTATTATTATTATTTTCTCTGTATGTGATTGTATTGTCATCTGTCTTAATTCTCTAAGTGAAGCAAAAAAAGAAAAGAAGTTTTAAACAAATGAATGTATTTGAATTTTCATTATTATTAATTTTTGATTTTTCGAATTTCATCAATAAGCCATGGTTGAGCATAATATGGTCGAGTTGGAACATCTGCTGATGTACCATAACGAGAACGAAATACACGAGGATCACTTTCAGCTCCTTTTTCTGTAAAAGCAAGTTTAACACCGGGTTTAGATCGATTTTCACGTATCAATAATGTTGGTTCACTAGCATTGAGATTGTTCGGAGTTAATTTATATTCTGGTGTACACCAATAATTAGTTCCTATAGAGGTGGTTATAGAAATTAAGAAGAAGGGGTACAATAAGATATCTAACCTAGAGGAAAATGTGTTTCGTATTCCTGAGGATAAGCTGGTACATTAACCGGCCTAGAAAGACATAGAAACAATTTATTTATCTTTTAAAAAAAGATTTTGCTAAATTACCAAGGATCAAGCCCAACTTGAGCAACATATGGTTGAACATTTGTTTGATTTGGAAGATAGGTAGGTGGTACTCCATATCCTAAGATGATTTGTTAATAATCAAGGACATTTACAAAAAAAAAACGTAATGAAAATCTCTACCAGGAAATGGTGGTGTAGGATTTTTATTATAATACATAAAAGTATCCAACATATTTGGAACTCTTGTTCGATCTGCCATTTTGTTATAGTTTTAATCAAAACAAAAAAATAAAATAATATGTTTTATTATTCTATTCAGTCAGGTTTTTTTTTCTTCAGACATTTATAAAGTTAAATATACGTTGCTATGGATTGATCATCATATTGGCGAAATTTATAGTAACTCCATCTGAGAATAACATACAATCAATATAGATAATCATATTACAAGAGAAGTTCATTATCGATTATTGTTAGTGAATATGAATATTATGAAATTTTTTTCTTTTTTTTTTTTTTACAATTTAATTGTCTTCGTTGTATCTATCCTTCTAATAATGCCATAAATTTGAAAAGAACTATTTCCGAGAAATGTTGTTATTAAGAAAAGAAAAAAAGAATAATAATTAATTTTGAAGTCGATGATTGTTGATATTTTATCAAACCGTAAGAAATATATTCTTATGTTGAGTTTATAATATAATGAAAACTATATCAGATTTAAAAGTCAGGCTATTATAGTCTATAAAAAGTTTCTCTTTCTTGAAATAAACAATCCATAATGCGTTTAACTAACAATTTTCCTGTATATTCATATAATTCAATAGAATTATTTTATGAATCATTCGTATTTTATTTTAATCTCGAGTCATATGAGTTATTTAAAGGTAAGTATGGCATCTCGATTCCATTTTATCAAAATGAAAGTGATTATGATAAGCCAATCATACCAAGAGGCTGCTTCTACATCGTGAAAAATTCACTGAACATTCATATACTTGTTTAGATTGAATACAGAAGCGTATCATTATTTTTTATAACATAATTAGAAGTATAAACAGTGGTGTTTTAATAATAATAATAATAATGTCGCATAAACAATAAGAGTTATTTTCATTTTTTAGTGATTTCAAATGTACAATCTTTTTTCTTTCTAATAAATCATATGTTCAATATTTCTTGTACATTCTATCAATCAAATGGCCATATTAAAGAGTTCAACGCCTATGAGAACTTATGTCACTATCTAGTAGTTCGCTTTTATTCTATCTATCTTTGTATTGGTAATACTTGTAATATGTCAATGCTCTCTCTCTCTCTCTCACTTATTTCACTCAGACTAATTTCTTTCTTGCTTCTTATTTAATCAACTTGTCGATCTCGATCTTCTGTCTATGTGTCTGTCTCTTTTCTAATAACTATCGATTGGCGACAAGAAATGAAAGCAAGTGAACGAGCGAGTGAGTGGGCCGGAAAGAAGAAGAAGAAGAAGAAGAAAACGCACAAATATAGTTAGCAAAAAAATAAAAGTGGCGTTCATTGCTCGCACCCTTTTTTTTATTGTATGTGTACGTGTGCATGAAATATTGATGATGCATTAAATCGTTTCGGCAGTGAGTGCATGCTTCCATTTTCTTGTCAAGTATAGAAAGACACTTGAAAAAAGTCTTCTTAAACAAGCAGATGCCTATTTCCGTTTCACACATATTCAATATAAAATATAAGTATATATGTTCAATAGACTAAACTACTGCTTGAATAAGAGTAAGTAACATCTGGCATTGGACATGAGATCAATCATATTTAGTTTTCTTTTTGTTTTGTCCAAGCCAGGTGTGATGCGTAGATTGTCTTGAAACAATTTTAGGGTTCTCGATTCGCTTTTTTTTTGGGCGTCTTCAACGTGTAGAACTAGCTTTTGACTGCATTCTCTCTCTCTCTCTCTCTCTACCCTTTCTTGTTCTCAATTTCTGCCTCTGTCGCCTTCTATCCGTCTAATCGATACACTGCACGGTCAGTATGTGTGATCGGTGATAGCACATATATCGACAAGATGGCAAAAATCAACAGAATGCCACACTTTGCACGTTATTCTTTTTGGTTTATTGCGATGACGCGTGTCTCTCTAACATATGACTCAATTTCAAGACTATATAAGTCTCTTTCAATCTATATAAGAATCATTACTTATGAGACTAGTGTTTAATTCTAGAGATAATATATATCTATTATATGTAGATATAAACATTTTAATTTTTAACTTTAAACTTGTTATTTGATGTCTAAGAAGAAGAACACGAACGGCTCTTTTCTTTTTTTTTTGTTGTACTGTCTTTTTCTCGATATTATACTATGGCATAAAAAAATAGGTACTATGATAGATATATATATATATATATATATATACACTAGAGAAATAATTTTGTTCGTTGTCCTATTGCTATGTTGCTTCTCTATCGAACAACAGAACTTGAGTGTCGTGATGCCCTTTTCCCATTCACCTCTTACGCTCATTAACACACATACCACGTCCGACATTTAAACTTGACGCACAGAACAGTGTATCTCACGAACATATGCACAAGAAAGGTAAGTAGAACTAAATCATCAACAAAACGACAATTATATAATCTATAATTGATGCTGATAAAGAAAATCAGCTGATCAGATTTATCATTACAATACACAGAAATATAATAGTCTAATCATTTTAGATGTCATTTAGTTGGTCAGCATCATCAAGTCCATCATTTGTTGGTATTAAACCAACAACTACAAATAGTTTTGCTGATGCACTTAAACGACTCGCTGAACATGTAGAAGAAAAAAATAAAAATAGTAAATCAACATATCACAAATATATATATATATATATGGAGTCTTCAATTATAAATTTTATTTTTTCTTTAGTAGATTCAAATAATATTGGAAATTCTAATCTTGTTCAATCATCAATAGACTTTCCAAATCGAATGATTCCATATCATGTAAATAATTCAATATTACCTGACCAAACATTACGACTATATACACAATATATGCATGAAGTATTTGTACTTTGTATATTTGAAAAATATTTGAAATCTTTTGATTGTAGGCTGAAAGAAGAGAAGATATGCGACGACGTTATCTACGAGTCTATGGTGGATCAAATGGTCCTAACATAAATTTACCTATATTAAACAGGTGAACAAAGCAAAAAAAATATATTCGATCGATTAAAATTATTTATTTATTAACAGGCGTCTTGATATTACTGATCCTTATCGATTTATGGTACCCCATTTATCTAGTCTCCTCCATCCACCTACATATTTACAATTACCTACACAACAAACGAGACTAACACAACCAGCTCCATTTTTGTTGCCAAATATCAAAACAACTGATACAACAATACGGTAAGATTTATCTTTGTCATATATCAAAAAGAAAATTAATTAATTTCTTTTACTTTTCAGCATACCAATACAAGAAAATACTGATAAAAAATCATCTGAGGTATGCTTTTTTAATTTTATGAATAGAATAACTTTTAATTATTCTCTATATTAGCAATCATCACATCTTTCTAAACCAAAATTAAAACTATTCCGTCCTTATGATCTTGATAGTCGAAATTCAAATTCTAATCAAACATCACCATCTTCACCAACTGTAACTAAAAAATCAACTCCATCACCATCGACTTGTGTTAATAGCAATTCAACAATTTCTGATGAATCACAAACAGTAACATCGTTTGGTAAAGAAAAACAATTATTTAATACATTAGGTCTCGTTCAACAGTCTACTGATATACTAACAGAAAAATCATCGTTCATTCAAACATCACCATCAGAAAGTTCAACAGCAATTGAAACGATTTTTACACAACAAGATAATCATCTCGATAATAGTCTTTCCAATACAAAAGATTCTTCATTATCGGCTACATTTAAACGTAAATCAGCTTTTTCATCAAATACACAAAATTCATCAAATCGAAAACAATTGAAAATCGATAAAATACACAACAATGTGGAATAATATAAAAGTCAATCTTTTTATTCTTTTGCTTGCGAGTTCAGTTTTAATCGGTTTCTTTTTTTTGTTTGTTTTACATTTTCGTTGCTTCTCTTTCAATATAAAAGAAAAAATATTATTCAATAAGAATAAAATTTATTCTAAAATCGTGGCTTATTCAGTCTAAGGAACGGGTCAATGTTGTTAATCAGGTGAATTGTTTTTCTTTTTCTAATCCCTTACAAATTTGTCATTTTGATACGACCGATTAATTCAACAAGTTTCGACTTGCTGACGTGAATAACTTTGGATATATTTAAGTCGTATATAATATAGTTAAAACTAAAATTGTTTTCACAAATTGTGGAATATTTTTATCATTTCATAAAAAATATGTTTGATGCGGACATAGGGAGAGCCGTCTTGGCACCAACAGAAATTAGATATGACCCAAGAAGATAAAAACATAACTTTTTAGCATTAAAACGCATGTGGAAAGAAATAGTCGTGTAACCGTTCGAAAAATGCAGAACTTAATACATGTTCCGACAAACATTTTATCATCATGATTGGAGAGCTTATTAATAGTTATGTTAATACTCTCAAAGAGACCCAATTATTTATGCAGTATTGGGAATATTACATTCATGTTCATTTTTACTTAAAATCACCAACGTTTTAAGAATCAAGAATCGTGAGCGTGTTTAGAAATGAAATTGTGAACGAACAACGTCTTTCGACTATGATAATTAATGTTAACCAATTAGTTGGTATTTTAGGTAGTTATAACAGATAATAATAAGAAACCAAAAGTTTTAGCTGAAACTCAAATGAAGTCGAAACATATTATTGACTATCTAGGAGTCAATGTGAATATAACCCACCATATTATCCGATTTCAATAAATGTTTTCAGCTATTTAATGATTTATATATTGATGATTCGTCTTATTGTTTGAATTTAAACATATCCATTGACATTAATAACATAAGAGCACTAAAATTCCATTTTCTTTCTCTATATTTAGGAAAGAATATTTGACTCAAACATCATGTTTTGAATTTCATTACAAGATAATGTTGAATTCTTATCGAATTCAAATAGGATCTAGTAATGAATGAGTTACCGAAAATATGAAGGGCGATTCTTATGAATGTATTTGAATGTGAGAGACATTTTTTATCTTTAAGAAGACTCAAAACATACATTAAAAATACAAAGTCAAGAAAGATTATCTATTTTATCTTTCATTTATATTGAACATTATTTTGATATAATTGTAAACGAGTTTATCCCGAAAAAAAAACGAAAATAGAAAAATTCATTACAAATAAGCCTTATAACTTTTACCCCTGTTGACTTATTTTGCGTACTTGAAAAGTTTCTTTTATAACGTTAAAAAAAAAGGTCTTGTATTAGTTCTGTAGTTCATTCTCTTGACGTTCAACAACTTTTCGTCACAGTAGACAGGTATAAAAGATGATTAGGACTACAAAAATGTTGTTTATATCTTTTCAGTGAAGCATACCAACAATCTTAATCATCGAATAGTTCCATACTAAGTAAAACTTTTTTCGATCGATAAATTGGCATTAACTTCAGTAAACTCTGCTTTTTCTATTCCAAACAGAATAACTTACTGCTTCATTTTAATAGAACTTTATGTAGATTTCTTATAGATATTCCAATTCTCAATGCACACTTCAATAGTTGACAAAATGACGCTTTTAAATTAAATACAACACGATCCTAAAAATTTGTCGACTTCAAAAACTCAATTTTCGATTATACGAAGAATGTATTCATAACGAAAGTGTAATCAAATAGCAGAATTCACAACCTCAAACTTAATCTACAACGAAACCTTGCTTCGTCAAGCAAACAAAATTTGCGTCTTATATAGTTTCGAAAAGATTTCTTCGTGCGAAATATTGAAAACGAAGAAAACTCATATTGTTATTGACTAAAGAGTGTTATAACTGTTTAACTCAAAACGAATGAACTTTTGCAATAAACAGGATTATTTTATGGTGCTAAAAAGACAAACGAAACGAATTCTCTAAAATCTGTTGAATGGACAAATGTTTTGCGTTAAGAACATGTGCGTGTGCGTGCACATCGACTGAAACATGGTCGAAATGTTAGTGAATCATGAAGACACGAATAAAAACAAGGTCTGTCTAATGTGAAAACACAAAAAAAGAAAATTATTTCTAGTGCAGTATATTTTATGAGTATACTGCCTGTTCTTCTGATAACTCTCTTTGCTTTTGGAGACGAGAGGTAAAGTGAAATATTGGACAAATATTTTCGCAATGTGTAAGAGATTGTTTCTTTTATTTATCATAGTTCTCTTTGATTAAAAACAGGAAACAAATTTTCTGAACTTTCACTGTATTTTTTTCTATTTTCTCCATACAAAAAAACCAATCATTCAGATTGAGATTATCTGTGAATATTGAATGTACTTCTCACTGTACACAATGGTTCTGATTCGATTATTTCGAGGAACTTACTCAAGTATTTCAAACAGTCCAAACTAATTTTCATCGTTTTAGACTTTATCACGCGCGAACGATTCTGAGTGTTTATGTTTACTTTAAAACCAAAATCGCTCCTCCCTGAACTGGTTCTTAATGTATTTATTATTTTTTCAAGTCTTCTGCTATGAACAATCATAATGTTGAAACCTTAAGAGTTAACAAATGCTGAAGATCGTATCAAGAACAGCATTATCATCTATTCATCATGCTTATTTTATGATTTCATAAGCCAGTCCAATATTCAAGCTAGTAATCATTGAGTTCTACTTAATTCCCGATAGAAATAACCAAAAAAGTATAAAAAATATAATTCCAAAACAATTATATAGAAGAAGATTAACTTAGCACAATCCCTATTACAAGTTTATTGTTAAACGGTGTGCTTTTACTATAGAAAACGAGAGTGAACAAAGAACCATCGCGTAAAAATATGATACGAGCGTAGATGAATGTTAGACTGTACTTCTTCAATTGAATATCAAACTACTTTTTCATTTTTTCTTTCAATCTACGAATATTGTTTTCGGCCCTAATAAGTTCCTCATGAGTAGGTGGCAAAATTTTGCGCAGAATGTCTATCGTTTTTTCGAAGTATTCTAATGCTTTTGAATAATTTCCTTTCTGTTTATATAATGTTCCTAAATTATTGTAGCTTGCAGCAATGTCTGGATGATTACGTGGTAAGACTTTTTCTCGAATCTTGAGAGCTTTTTT